TCTGCAGCTTCCAGGCCTCATTGAGAGCAGCTCCAGCTTTTCTACTACATAAATGGGACATCAATGTGAGACTCCAGCTTTGAAAAACTGCTCTGTTAACAAGAAGCAAGTATGTGCAAATGCACATATGTACATGGCCGTGCATGTATCTATGTATGCACACCAACAGGTACACACGTATGTTGATTATGGGTGACTTAGAGTAATGGCTCACAATTGGAGGCCTTTTCTGAAAGGTTGGCAGTACCTGTCCCATAACAGGGTCTCGGTACATATTTGATGAGTGACTGAGTGAAAATCTGGAGGTGTGCATCATAGGGACAGGGAGATGCAGTCTGAGAAAGGAAGTGACTCAGTCAGTTAAAATTCTTGGTCTCTAAAATGTGCCATGAGACAAAAGCCCTGTGGTTATTCTGCGAGTTTAACAGACTCTCCCTCCCTCCCCATCTCCCCTACCCCTTTCTTTTTTTCCACCACAGCTCTGCTCCGGGCCAATAGCTTCCAGTCTGTAACTCCTAACAAATACCAGAGCTGGAGAAGAAAATTCCAGTCCAGTGAGTCATGCGCTCTCTGGGAGTGGGTGGGGAGGGGCAGGGGCAAGTGTCCTCTGGTTCATTCTCAGGGGCAGCTGTTCTCATTCCAGACTTGTCCTCTCTGACCTGGGCTCCTGGATGTGAGCAGCAAGGAGAGAGTTAGGTTGTCTGTTTCCACTGTTGACTGAGGCATTTTCCAAGGATTTGGGACCTTCCCTTCTTCAGGTCCTCAGGCTGGAATCATGAAGCCTTACAGCTCTACGGTTGCACCTGGAAGGGTCTTAGCAATCACTGGCTCCAAGATTTTTGAAACACAGATGGGGAAACTGAGGCCCAGAGCCTCTATGTGTTTTCATTCCATGCCCTGGAGTTGGACTGGGGGCATCAGTGAATGACTTCATGCAGTCATGGGCAAAGCTTTGAAGGAATCCACACCCACACCCACTCACATACCCACCCACCCAAGCACACACACCTGTTGCTGCTTCTGAGCAGGCTTTGACCCCAGCATCCCAGAGAGGAGCAGGACTGGGTGAGGACCAGGGGCTACATCAGACGCATCAGGCTCCCATGAGGGGCACATAGTCGCACAGCATCCTGAGGCTGACTACATTCTCTGTGCTGCTCTGTGGCCCTTACAGAGCAGGCATTGCCTCCCCCGCCTGGAGAGAAGGATGGGGACTCTCAGTCCATTTCCAAGTCCACCTTTCACCTCCCCCTGCCCCCACACTCCCTCCTAGGCCTTGCTCTGGGAGAGGTGGACCCAGGAAAGTCTTGGGTTAGACAGGGCTTTCTAAAAAGAACTATTGTTGAAGTTGGAACAGAGCACTGGTTAGTTGGCTCCTTCCTTGTGAGTCAACGCTGACTCCTGGCCCATGAATCATTCTCCCAGCAACCCTCAGGCTTGAGCCCCACCCCCCTCCTTGGGTCAGGCTGGGATAATGGGTGCCTCTGGAGCTGGACCACAGCTGCACACCCGTAGGCCATTTCACCTGAGGGCACCCTAAAATGGCTCTGGAATCATCTTGCAGTCCCAGGCAGTGAGGGCCACGAGAAAAGGGAATGTTTGTTGAAGGCTTGAGTCACTTCATTTCCTCACCCTCCCAGCCCCTCCCCACATCACTAGAATTCTGCTTCTACTGGAGGCTCTTTTTGGGGAGATTCCATCCAGTGCTTCCAGTTGACTTTAATGAGTGCCATGAGCGCGAGGGGCTCTGCCTTGATTTTAGAAGTTCCGGTCTGGGCTGTGAGCAGCCCTTCTGCCCCCACCCCCGGGCCCAGCAGGTTAAAAGACGCTGGAGGAGGCACAGGGGAGAGAGGACAGCTAACCAGAAGCATGGTTTCCAGGATGGACCTGAGGACCTCCGTGTGTCTTTAGTTTTCCTCGGTGTTAGTTCTCGGGAATTTGAGGGCTGGCCTTGAGTTGGGATCATACCTGTGGGCCTGGCCCAGAGGAGGTACTCAGTCCTCCCTTGCTGAATGAATGAGTAGGGAGTGAACATGGGAACCGAGGAACAAGCGGGCAGGCTTCTGCCCCTAGAGGGCGCTCTGAGACCTCAGGAGATTCGAGCATTGCCTGAAACTCCACATTCTGGGAAGCTGCACCCTGGAATACCAGTCTTTGTAAAAATCCTCAAGGCTGTCTTTTGGGTCCTCTCCATTTTGCCCCCAGAGGAAACCCCAGTGGGCAACCCTGGTCCTGTAGTAGCGAGCAGAAGCTGGGACACCATCTCCTTGGTCTACTCACTGCCAGTTCTGGCCCCAGCCCCAGGTGGGCGGACAGAGGGAGCTTTTCACCCTCCCCCAACTGACTATAGTCACTAGAATGACCTCTAGGATCAAGGGGAAAGGTCACTGCCAGAGGGCCCAGAGAAGAGACAGCTGAGCCAAAGGAGACTCGGGGGCTGTGATCTGGGTGCCAGTCTGCTCATCAACCCCTTTGCATGACTGAACCAGAAAGGCCAGCAGCACCTAGGACTGTGGTCCCAGCAGAGGGCACGGTAGCCTGGCTGGACCATGCCAAGCGTTCATGGAAAACAAGAAAGAACCCACAGAGAAAGATCTGAGGTGGTGAATGAGGATTCCCTGGGCCTATAGGTTAGAGAACTCCTGGCCAGGGTTGGGGTCTGCAGCCCCCTCCAGACCAGGTCAGCAGTTCAACCAGGCCTTTATTGGACACAACTGGCATGCGTGGGAGGGACAGAAGGATTAGAGTTAACATTTAGCTCACGTGCCACCTTTACTTAGCATCCTACACCAGGCACCACTTTTTATCCCATTTTACTCCTTCAGCCACCCCATGAAGCAATGCTAGACTTCACGTCCATCACATGAGGAAAGTGAGAGTCTAAAAAACTTGCTCAGTGTCAGCAGCTGGTGTGGGAGTGAAGGAGGCCAGCTTCCAGGCTCCCCTTTGCCATCCTCTGAGGGAACCCCCAAAACATCAGCCACCTCAGGCTGGTGTGATTTCCTGTCACCTCGCGGCTTACCTCTGGCCTTCCCCTCCCAGGTGGCAGCTTGACCCGCAGGCGTCCCCTCAAGCCCTGCCCAAGTTGTCCAGAAGTCAGTGTGTGAGAGGCCTCCCTGGTGGGGGTGGGGGCAGGGGTTAAAGAAAGGAGAGAGGGAGTGGCCTCCAGGTCATGACCTTGTCAACCCCAAGGCTTTCTTGTCAAGTTTGGTTCCCAAGGTGTCCCTGGCACTGTGTCAGAAAGTTCCAGAGAGCTCCTCAAGGGAACAAAGAGGCAGTCTGTTGAGCTGAGGGGACTTTGAGACCAGGGACTTTGAGACCAGCTCCGGAGTCTGATTCAGGAGGTAGCCGAGGGAAGAGAAAGAGGGGGCAAGGGAGAGGAGGAGAAGGAATTTGGCAAGCGGAGGACAGGAAGCAAGGGAACAACTGACTCACGGCGTTTGCCTTTTTAGGCTCGAACCATCTCATCGTGGGCCACACCGGGGCCTAGGGATTGGGCTGACAAGCTGGCGGGCTGCCGCCCCTGCACTGGCTCCCGGCAGCCCGGGGCCTTCTCCCAGCAGCTCCTTCCTGCCGCCCTTGGATCTGTTCCCCTGAGTTCTCCTCTCCCTCAGAAGCATTCTGGAGGCCTTCGCTTTGCCTGCTGAACACGTGTGTGTGGTGGCTGTGTTCTCAGAGCCCAGGACAGGGATACACACATGCTCTGACACACATTTGTGTAGAAGGAAAGCAGGACAGAATCCTGAAGGGTCCCCTATGTGGTTGCCCTGTGCAGATGGGTCTGGAAGGAACTCTTCTGGGCATGGGGGGTGGGTTTGGCCTGGCCTGTGTGGGCTCCAGAGCAGGAGCATCTCACCCAATGCTTTGGGGAAACTGAGGCCAGGGGGTTGAATTGAGTTAGTAAGTGAACTATGACCTGAAGGCTGGACACCTTGGAGGGAAATCAGAATGGGTCAGCTGAGCAGCCGGAAGCAAGGAGTCTTACGGCAGTGGGTAGAGAGACATTGGTCCTGGGAGGTCTCTGAGGGATAGACTCTATCTGCTAGGAGGCTTCACAGGAGAGCCGGGTGGGCTGATGGGTCAGCCAGAGTGGACAAATCTGAAAAGAAGCATGGCATTTTCTGGAATCCCTCTCAGGACATATTATTGAAATGGTCCCGTGTGGAAGCAAAGCCCTTCAAATTGCAGATTTAAGGTTATTAGAGGGCATGTGTGTGCCCACGCACACTCGTGTATGCCCTCAGGAGAAGGAGAGATTGCTCCTACAGGCTACGACTATCACAATTCCGCTGTTACCAGACTGATTGACTCATTGATCCTCAGGGTCCAGCCACGCTCCTTTTTCATGTTGACCTGGGCACATACACTGCATCGCGTTTGTTCCCTGACTGACAGGAGCTTAGCATGAACCCCACTCCATATGCTTCAAATGATTTGATACTCATTATAACCTCCCTCCCCAGTGTTTTCTTAAAATCTCAAACTAGCCATCTTGTCTGAAAGCCCCTCAGTGCACATGTGAGAAGGAAGAGCCCGATTCACTAGCAGTGACCGCCTGCCTTGTCCGAGCCCACAGCTAATGGCCCACCATCTTGTGGGAAGAGGCCTCAGATGATCTGTTGACTAAGTGACTTAACGCAGCCCAGATCCCAACCACAATGGCTTTGGGAGAAACTGTCCATTTCCAAGAAATCACCCTGGAGACATCTTGGGAATATTCTTGGGGAGTGTGAAGTGCAATGCTTCTTAGACTGTCATCCTAGGACCTCCTTTCCCCCGAGGAGGCTGCCACTCCTGCACCCATTCCTCCGAGGTCACACTCTGGGCACTGGAGTCTCTGAATCGTTCTCCAACACCTTCCTCCCTCTGGCTCTATTGATCGAGCTGGAACTTCTCTTAAAACCTCCTCTTTTCATGATAAAATAAGGTAAAAATGGCTCTGTAATGGAGAGGATGTTCTTTTCTTGATAGGTTCGACACCAGTGAGCAACAAAAGAACTATGTCACCTTCAGAGGAAACTGCTCCTCTTTCTTCTTCCTCATGGTCTTCTCCTTCATCTTCCCCGCCATCTTGGTCTTCAGGCAGTGTCCCAGGGAATGCTCTGAATGGCTTCTCCCCACCTCAGGTAAATGCCCCTCGGGGCCCTGCACAGGCGTTAGGAAGGTGAGCTGCCTGTGCTCCACCTACTCCCGCATTTAACTCCGGATTCTTAGCAGCCTTCGGTCCCCCAGGTGCAAAGCCATGGCCAAGAAATGCCTACCCAGGCCTTCTTCACTTGTGCCTTTCATGAAAGCTCATCCGTCCTGCTCCTTCTCAGCCAGCCCCAGGGCGTAGCCGCTCACTCAGCAGACTCCGTGGGGCATAGACTCTGGGCAGGACTCTGGCGTGCAGAGATGCTGGGACATATGCTCGGCCCTTGAGGGCCTGGCAGAGGACGTTGAGGAGCTCACAGCTGACGAACGGCAGACACAGAACTGATGTTGCCTTTGATAGCAGCTGGGACTCTTGGAAGCACATCCCCCTTGAACAGAAAGTGACATCACTGAGATACTGAGGTTTAAGCTCTATCCTTCAGTATGAGTTTATAGAGCCTCTGTCACCTGCCAGACACTGGTCCGGGCTCTGGGAAGTAGAGCGTACAAGACAGAAAAAGACACACACTCTTGTTAAGCTCCTGTTCCATAACCTGGCCCTCAGGCACCAGAGCTCTTAGCAGGACACAGCCACTTGCAGAATATCCCTGTGTTCTTCCTCTGCCAAGGGGCCAAGTTCCTGCTCACTACATAGGGCTACTTTCTCAGTGGTGCAAAGCATGAGTCAGGTCTAGAAGGGTCACTGGAAAGTCCCAAATCCAAATCTTTCTGCCGCCCCAGCTCTAGCCCAGAGGCATAGCTATCTCCCCTTCACTTAATAGTCTCCAAAGAAGAAGACTTGGCCTCTTGATTACTGGAGGAACACACCTATCTGCGCGGTAGAATGTTCCCTTAGTGGGGACCATGGCGAAGCTTGCCTTGGGGCATCTGGTCTGGCCACCTACAGGGGCCAGGCCAGCCCTACCTGCCTGGCCCAGGAGCTCGTCAGTGCCTCCGCCTTCCTTGCTGGCTTCCTACCCACCTAATCCAGCACCCAGCAAAGCCTTTGATCACTGCTGATACAGGGCTCCAGGCAGATCTCACCAGGTCCCATGGCAGCCACTTAGAATAAAGAGCACCCCTTGGCAATCATCCTAGACAGATTTCTTTTTTCCTTTGGGATTCAGAGATCTGAAGCAAGGAACGGAGGGGGCTGTAGACTGAGATATGCTTCCCCATATAAATAAATGCTGGGAATTCCCAAATATCCATTGATTTTGCCCGTCCCCCGTAGGTGATAGCTTACAACTTGCCCTTGCAGGTCTCAAGAGGTCACTTCAGCCCTTCTACCCCAATCTTTCTGAGGCGCGCCAGAGCCCAGGGAACGCCCAAGCACATGCACCTGTATCTGCCTCCTGACCAAGTGCTGGAGCAGATGGAGTACCGCGTGGTGAGGCCCCAGCCACCCAGCCCTGCAGAAATGGCTTCGGATGAGTGTCAGGAAACAGAGGCCCTTCTTGGGGACACCAGAAGCTTCCACAGAGGCCCACACGCCACTGGAGCGAAGGCCAGGTGTTTGCCGGACCAAAAGCTACCTCCCAGGGCTAGAGCTGACCCAGGAGAAAGGAACACTGGCCCCAGAAGGAGAGAGGAGGGTGGGTCAGAGCTGGTAGAGGGGAAGAGGCCGAGCTTGAAGAAGTTAGTCCTCACCCCGGAGCAGAAGACAAAGCTGCTGGACTGGAATGACTCCCTCCCTGAGAGGGTGAGTCTGGAAGCTGGGGCACTACCTGCCCGGGAGGGTCCTAACAGTGGTCGAGGAGGCCATGTGCTGAAACCAGTCAGCCCCTTGCTGCTCCCCCAGACAGCGCGAGAGACCTCTCCAGCCCGGGGAAAGGCTCAGGAGAAGACGCGGACCCCAGCTGAACAGGCTCCAGGGGAGCAAAGCATCCCTCCACCCAAGTCCCCACTTCGGCTCATAGCAAATGCCATCCGGAGGTCCCTGGAACCCCTCCTCCCCAATTCTGCCAAGCCAGAGTCAAAGCCCTTGCCCACCAGCCAGCCGCACGCCTGCGCTCGCTCTTTCAGCCTTCGCAAAATCAGCTCCAATAAAGACGGCAGCCAGCGGTCCCCAGGGAGAGACATGGCGCGCGGGACCTCAGCCTTCTTCTCCTGGGGCTCCCCACCCGCCAGGGCTGCCCAGCCTTCACACCTTAGCTTTCCTGACCCTGCCTTCTGCACCCACAGTTTGCCCAGCCGGCCGTCCAAGATGCTTCCTGCACTCATGTCCCCATCCTGCCCCAAGATGGAAGATGTCCCCACACTCCTTGAGAAAGTGAGTTTGCAAGAGACCTTCCCAGATGCTTCTAGGGGTCCAAAGAGAAAGATCTCGCTCTTCTCCTCCCTCCGACTCAAAGACAAATCTTTTGAGAATTTCCTCCAAGAATCCAAACAAAGAAAGGACCTCCAGGACCTCTTTGGCATCCGCAGAGGCAAAGGGGAGCCCGTGGACAGTGCCCAGCCCCTGGAGAAGCTGGCACAGCCTTCCAGCAGCACCTGCCTGGAGCAGAGCGTCCTTCCTCCCTCTCCAGACAAAGATGCAAGTAAGTGGCTCTTTCCTAACAAAAGTCTGCAGTTCGTGCTGGGCAGTTAATCATTCTTGTTGGACTAACAACGGGCGTCTTTCCCTGTCTTTTGCTTCCCAAATTGAATTCTGACAAAAGTAGGAAAACTTGAATTTGAAAACCAAAAAATTAGGAAAAACTTAAATTTGAAATGATGTTACAGAAAGTTTTGAAAGAGACAGAGAATCAACCATAATCTCACGGCTTTCCCACTCATTATCCATGTATGGCAACTTTTACTACCTTTTACCCCCAAAATGGTATTTTTTAAGTTTATTTATGTATTTTGAGAGAGAGCGAGCGCACCTGCACATGAGCGGAGAGAGGGGCAGAGGGAGAGAATCTTAAGCAGACTCTATGCTCAGCCCCAGTGTGAGGCCTGATCCCATGAACTGTGATATCATGACCCCAGCCTAAACCAAGGTCAGATGCTTAACCAACTGAGTCACCCACGTGCCCCCATATTGTATTTTTTAAATCAACAATATAGCATAGCTATTGTGACAGTCACCACGTAGTCTACATAAATGTGATTTAATGGCAGTAGAATGTTATATCGAGTGGATATGTTACTTCATTAAATAAATTATTTTTTATCTAGAAAATAATAAAGCTATTTATTTTATTTTATTTTTTATTTTTAAAGTGCTTATTTATTTTTGAGAGGCAGAGAGAGACAGAGTGAGAGCAGGAGAAGGGCAGAGAGAGGGAAGCACAGAATCTGAAACAGGCTCCAGGCTCTAAGCTGTCAGCACAGAGCCTGATGGGGACTCAAGCTCATGAACGTGAGATCATGACCTGAGCCCAAGTCAGACCCTTAACCAACTGAGCCCCACTGGTGCCCCAAAATTGTTTATATAAAAATTATGCCTATGAATATATTTATATCTTATATAAGGTATTGAATGAACATTTTTTTTATGTATGTAGGTTTTTCTTTCCTTTGAATTATTTGTGTAGGATAGGTTCCAAGAAATGAGGCTACTGGATTAAAGATGCAAATATTATTTTCTTAATTTACACTAACGTTATTTCTTAACAGTATGGGTAAAGGACACATAGGACGTCTCTATGTTAATTCTTACAACTGCCTGTTGTCAGTTTCAATTAAACCGAGAGAAAGGTAACAGTTTATCACCACTAATGTATGCAGTATCTCTTCTACCATACAGTCATCTGTATTGAGTCTCCTATTTCTAACATATTGCTGTTTTACACGTCAAAAAATGGTGCCTCTTTTAAACTTAGGGTTTTTATTACTATTTAAACACAGTTGTATATGTGGTTAACAATGGAAGCTTGGGCTTTTTATATTAAATCTGATTATAACTTTAAATGATAAGACTAATTAATGAATCGGAAGAATCCAACAATATGGAAATATATTTTTTAAAAAGTGACATATATTCTCTGCCCGCTCTCCTCCCTGCCAGAGTTTTGGTATGTTTCCTTAGAGACCGTTTAAACACTTATGTGATTTATTTTTTTATTATTCATATTTGTTTGATGCCTTTAAATTGTGATTCTCCCGCCCCTTTTCTTGAGCAACTTTGTTTTTATTTATTTTTTTATGCTTTTTTCTTTTTTAACTTTTATTTTGGAACTTTAGTTTTCAAGCAAAAAATTAATTTCCTTCTTTGGTGCCTTAATCAGAAAGCGATGTAGATTAACCAGGGACTTTATTTCCAGCCAAACTCAGGATAAGCACAAACAGGCTGGGGTTTAACTACACCGTTTATATCACATCGTAAACTTTAATGTGTTGTGCATTTTTTCATAGATAATACATTCATGTAGTTTAAAATAATAGGGTATAAAATGCACAAAATAAATGGTCCTATCTCCCTTTCTTGTCCCTGAACCACCCTGGTCTTATTCTTTTTTTTTTTTTTTTTTACAAATAGTTTATTGTCAAATTAGTTTCCACATAACACCCAGTGCTCAACCCCACAAGTGTCCTCCTCCATGCCCATCCCTCCTCCCCCCCACATCCATCAGTCCTCAGTTTTTGCCAGCATTCAAGAGTCTCTCATGGTTTGCCTCTCTCCCTTTCCCCCACCATTTCCCCCCTTCTTCTCCCCCTTGGTCCTCCGTCAAGTTCCTCCTAGTCCTCCTATACGTGCACACATATGATATTTGTCCTTCTCTGCCTGACTTATTTCGCTCAGCATAACACCCTCAAGGTCCATCCATGTTGCTACACATGGCCAGATTTCATTGTTTCTCATTGCCATG